ATTTCTTACTTATTACAAACTCTCTTTACTAAAAGAACTACAAATTGTCAACTCCTTTTTACAACATTTAACACAAAACAATGCTAAGCACCTTGTATGTTGTCTTGATTACTATTAATAGTAACAAAACAGAAGTATATGTATATCTATCTCATGAATCTGAAATGCTCTCTAATCACTACATTTTATTTATATATGATTCCTATGATATTCCTTTAAAATCACAATCAAATACATCTATTTGTTTTTCTACTTATATTAATTTCTACAGATCTATGGATATTACTGATATATTCTCACCAACACCTACTAATAAAATAGATAATATATTTAATAATGAAACATGCTCAGATATTTCTGAATTTATTTCTACAAAACTTCTTTTATTCTTATAAAATCCTTGTGATGAGGTCTCAAACTTACTTATTCTATCACCAGTTTCTACAAACAATACTTCTATTAACTATATCACTAATTAACAGTCTAGCTATGTTAGAGATCTACACCTTAATATTACAACATATAATGTTCGTAGTTTTAACACAATCACTAAAAGAGAAACCTGGCAAAATTATTGTCTTGATCATAATATTAGTATTGCTTGTATTACTAAAACAAAAATTTCAGAAAAACTTAACTTATTCTTTTATAATAATAATCTTTTTATATACTTTTGGGCCAATTCAGATAGCTTAGCAGAAGGTGCTGCTATTATAATATGCAACTTTCTTCAACCACATATTTACAACTGCCTTACTCATCCTGGTAGTGCTATTGCTATTGATCTATTCTTTAAAAGCAACATTAAGCTTCATATTATCTTGGTTTATCTTTCTTTTACAAATATATCAAAAAGAACTGCTACTCAAACTACTATTATTAATTAGATTTAGTTTGCTCTACAACACAATCTTTATCCTATTATTCTTGAAGATTTCAATATACATGATTTTAACTTCAGTTCTTTAGCAAAATATAGACTCATAAATTTTTTATACCACTTCAACATATATGATATTGGTACACATTTCAATAATACTCACTTTACATAGTCTAACAACATTTACTCTAGCAAAATTGACTATATCTGAACTAATTAGTTTAATATCTAGTTTCTCTTGTCATATAAACTAGATACTAGTAATACTAGTACTCATAGTAATTATTTTATACTTAATACATCTTGGATATTTCCTAATGCTTATAACAAACCTTCTTGTTTGCATAGAGATATTAGCTATCGCATATTTAATTATAAAATTATGATCTCAGAAAATTGGTCTGAGTTTTCAGATCTTTTTACAACAAAACTTAATTAATATCAAACTTTATTATCACTACAAACCTCTGAAAGTATAGACACTATATAGCATAAAATTGAATACTTTATTATAAACGCTACTACTTCAATTATTTCAAACAAAATTAGTCGTAAATGTAGCTATAATCATGAATATGCTCTTATAGCATACAACTATACCTGTCTTTTAAAAAACTTGGTCATCTAATTAAAAATCTAAAAAATACTAATACAACTCTAGATATCTCTTTAGTTAACTTACAAATTCAGAACATTAATTCATAATCTCAATATAATTTCTAAACTCTTTTAAGTTTAAATTCTGTTTAAATTCTAGAATGAATAAATTATGCTTAGTATAGCGACATTATAATCTGTGCTCGGTTATGCATGATTATGCATGATCTACAAATCAGATTTGAGAATTAGATGTAACATAGCATAATCAAAACAAATGTTTGTTTTTTCAAAAATCACTTCTTTCTCAAAAATCTGCATAGTAAACCACCTTTAGTGCACTAACAAAAAGTTTTCCTTGTGCGATTTTACTATATAACCACTTAGCTTTTAACTTTAAATGAAACGCCAACCCTAACATTAATGAACTTTAAAGAATTTTATATAATAATCGGCAACATGCATAACCGAGCACAGATTATAATCTTGCCTTAGTATATATAGCACCAATTGTACCAAGCACGCTATACTAAAAACTTCCTTCTACTCTGTCAACAAATTCAACAAACTTCTGAGAAAAGATATAAGACTCTTGTTAGCAAGTCTACATATACTATTAATAGTATTCTTAATTGCTATCAAGCCTCAATATATTTCTCAAATATTAAATTACCAAATCAATTAATTACAGAGCTAACTCTTATTAAACAATATATCCAACAGCATTTTTATGACTAGACTGCTTATAAACCTATTAATCAACCACTTTTTGATAGCTTTTGGAAACAAGAATATCAATCACAAACTCATATTAATCTTGACTGGTATAATACTCTTATTTTATCAATTACAATTGAAGAAATAACTTCAATTATTTTCAAGCTTCCAAATGGCAAAGCTTGTAGACCTACTTGCATTAGCTATGAAATAATTAAGCACTCTGATTTAACATGTTTACAAGCTCTTATTGCTCTTTTTAATCTTTGTCTTACTCAGAATCAAATTCCAAAACAATAGAAAAATAGTAGAATATTTTCTATACCCAAATGTAATATTTTCGACGGCAATTTCAATCTTACTTGACCAATTAGTCTTGTAGAACATATTCGTAAAATTTATACTAAAATTATTACCAATTGACTTAGCACTATATTTCAAAAACACCCTATTCTATCACTTTTCAACTATGTTGCTCTATCTGGAAATTCTATTGCAACTCTTATACATATCCTTAATAATCTAATTGAGGATACTACATATAACTACAAAGATATATGGCTCTTGTTTCAAGATATGAGTAAGGTCTATGATTCTGTCAATTTTTCTCTACTTCAATACTTACTTGCTTGACTTGCTCTACTAACTTCTATTATCTAAACTATAATCAATATCTTTACTGACCACTACAATCAGGTTATAATTAATCTTGGACTAACTCCTTCATACTCTGTTTAAAATGGTATCGATCAAGGTGAAACTATTACTTCACTTCTTTGAAAAATATATTATTATCGGCAAAAAAAATAGGCCGATATATATCGATTATTAACCATAACGGATATATATCAATAGTAATCCCCCCTGTTGGGTTATATCGATTAAGATATATATTGATATATATCCATTACAATAGAAAATCGATAAAAAACGATTTAGTATAATATCGATATTTATCAAATATATTCAGTACTATTAACTTCATACCAATAACCATGGTAATACTTTTAACAAATTTTAAAATAATTATCAATTTATGTATATAACATTTATTTATTGAATATTATAGCAATAAGCAATAGATAATATACGCAATAAGTAATACATAATATACAAAATATTAAAAAAAAAATGATACATAAAAAAAAATACATAAAAAAAACATTGAATTATAAATCGCAATTAAACAATTTATTCAACTCATCTTCGGAAAGACTTATTGAAGAAATATTCCGGGGAAGAGATTCGGGATCAGGATTATATTGAGGAGAACCCTCATCGTATCGTTTATCGTCATAAGCTTCACCTTCACCTTCACTTTGAAGGGCTTCAGTATTTTCGTGCGATAAATCACTACTTTCGATATCAATCTAATATGATATGTTAGTGTTAATATTATATGATGTTAAAACTAAAATAAATTCCAATAACTTACCAAAAATTGTTCAATTCGACGTTTCATACGCTTCTCCGTGCATAAAATGTTTCGTGACCGAGGGTTTAATAGGATGTCACATACCGAAAGGGCGAACGCGCTATGCTCATTTGTCAAAACGGGAACTGCCGCAGTAGAAAATGCAGTTCGTGCGATTACTGATACCCAATAAACGCCTTCGTTGTTTTGTTCGAAAAGCATGCGATAATAATCGTTTACTTGTGGGCTTTCTTTCTACGAACAATATCGGCCGCAGCCGCATTACTCTTCAGGGGAGGCAATCTTTCACGCCCAAATACGCGCCAAACTGCAGACCTAACGCTTTGAAGGGCCGCACCACGATTATTCTTGATTTTTTGAAGGAGCTATAAAATAATAGTAA